TGCAATATGGAAAGAGGGTGAGGGTTGTATTGACATAATTACAACAATCTAAAGTCAATTTAGGTCTTGATATTCCTCATTTGTTTGAATATAATTTGGCAGCAAGATACCGCCATCCTTTGGACTCTATCTCGGGGCATGATACCAAAAATCGATCTCACTAACTTACTTGATACACCCTACATGGACTTACTGGGTAGTATTAATTGTAATCCCACTCTCTCTTGTACTGTTAAAACATGGAAATTTCTGAGAATCCAATTTAACCGTCACTAGCAATATTCCAGGTTACTCACATTCTTCCATAGTAATCTGTTATATCAGGTTTTTCAGTGCTGGCATAAGGTTTCATGATGTGTATTGGAGATTACATAGACCAGGGGTTCTCAACCCAGTCCTCAGGACCCTCTACCAGTCCAGGATTTGGGGATTACCTGGGTGTGTCTCAGGTGTTTAGAAAAAGGGAAAAAAACACCTTAGACTCTAAGGTGTTTTTTTTTTTCTTTTTCTAAACACCTTAGACACACCCAGGAATTCCCTAAACCCTGGACTGGTAGGGGGTCCTGAGGACTAACGTTGAGAACCCCTGACATAGACTCTCACATACAAAAAATGCTAACTTTACTCCAAATTTAGGATAAATTTGAATCTCTTCAAATACCTCTTTTTGCCTATCTGCATATTCAAAACTACACAGTTAATATATGCAGCTTGAGGATTAACCATGATAATTCTGCATGCACACCTTCCGATTGCAGATATAAATTGTAGATTACAGCTATAGCACAATTATTTGTATTATTTTACCAAGTGTTTCTGGGAAAAAAAAAAAAAAGGGTATTATTGTATATCAAACTTTATGCTTGATAAAATCTTTACACATAGAAAACGCTACATTTGCACGTTGTTTGGCATTTACAATTGTAAAAATACCTAAAAAGAACAATTTGTAGTTTAAGGACTATATTCGGTTATAAAATAGTCACAATTCTGTTGTAACAGATAAGCTTATCTCTGGTAATTGAATAGCAATATTTGTCACTTGTAAAAAAAAAAGAAAAAAAAAAGGATAAGAATAAGAAAACAAAATGTAATGGGAAAACCAAACACTACATGCAAGTCTATAAATACAGCACTCGTTTCACCTCATCTTCTACCCTCTTCACGAATAGTAGGCCAATTTTAATGGAAATATTTTAACATACAAATTACGTTTAAGTAGAGTCTATTTCAGAGGTAACGAACCCAGTTCTTGCGGCGCTACTTGCCGGTTGGCATGGCGATGTGATGTTACCATGCAGGAGGAACTCGTTGGTTGGGCAAGTAATGAGCACAGCCTGATTTTCAGTAATTCAACCACTGTTCGCATTCTTAAAGGCATAGAGGGTGCTCCATCATGCCCATTCACATGTTTCTCTCGTTTGTACTTTAAGCCCACCCACTCCAAGGTTTGGTAATTCATCTGTTCTATTTAGTTGGTAGTTGTTATAAATGTAGTTTATATGTGTGAATAAAGTTTATACTGTTCAGTCAGTAGACAGCAGTATTTCAGCTAGCTGTATTTGTTGTATCCTCCTGTTACCTGAATAAAGTTATTAGATTTAAAAAGGAAGAGGGAAAAAAACATTTAAGCAGCCATGTTTGAAGAATTATAACTGTGCATTCTTTATTCCTGTGGTGTTTAAATTATCTCCATTATTAAAGGGACACTATAGTCACCAAAACAACTTTAGCTTAATGAAGCAGTTTTGGTGTATAGAACATGCCCCTGCAGTCTCACTGCTCAATTCTCTGCTATTTAGGAGTTAAATCACTGTGTTTATCAAGCCCTAGTCACACCTCCCTGCATGTGACTTGCACAGCCTTCCTAAACACTTCCTTTAAAGAGAGATCCAATATTTACACTTCCTTTATTGCAAATTCTGTTTAATTTAAAAATTCTTATCACCTGCTCTGTGAATAGCTATATATATCCTGCAGGATCCTCATGTATGTAATTAAAGCTCAATTTACAGAGCAGGAGATTAAAATGTTTAAAGTAAGTTACATCTGATTGAAAATGAAACCATTTTGTTTTCATGCAGGCTGTGCCAGTCACGGTGAGGGGAGGTGTGGCTAGGGCTGCAAAAAACAAACAAATGTGATTTAACTTCTTAATGGAAGAGAATTGAGCAGTGAGACAGCAGGGGTATGATCTATACACCAAAACTGCTTCATTAAAAAAAAAGTAGACGTTATACCTATTGTGTCCCTTTAATTATGTTCCAAAACATAGGCCATTGGTGTGTTTTGAGGACATAGCTTCACTTTAGGAGACAATTATTTTATGTGATTGTGCTAAAACATATTGAAGCCATATTTATAGTCCGGAACTCCTCATTACAGTTACTAGTCAAAGGAAAGCAGGGTTATCCACTAAATTCAAATTTATGCAAACTAAATTGAATTTAAAAAAAAATAACTGATCTTGGAAACATTCTTCAAGTTAGTCATATACACAACTGGCTATTTTTAGTTTTTCTATTCAGATTTAATTCATGAAAATACAGAGATTAGAGAATAACCTTAAAATAATTAAGAAAATCTGACTTATTGGATGTACTCGAGAGAAAAAAAAAATCTTAGGTCAATAACTAATATTGCTTTATCTGGATTCTGAATATGTATTTCTCAATATTTCTTTCAGTAAACTCAAAAATAACTTAATTTCATCAAATATCTAAATCTTTATGTTTTATTAGTATTTCTATTTAAATTTATTTCGTAAAAAGTCTAAAAACAACTTTTCTTTCTTTTCTTTAACAAGGTCACTATAGACTCTAAAATGAGCAAGCTTATTCATCAGACAATTGTGAAAAGTGCAATTTAGATCGTAATGTTGAAATAGGAATGTAACGTTAGTTTATTACATGATACTTTCCTCAGAGGTTCTTGTTTTTTTTCAAATCCCAAGGTTGTTGCCTTAAAGGAACACTCCAAGCACAAAAAAAACTTTTGCTTGCTAATGTGCTTTATGTGTGAAGAGAGTGTCCTCTTTTTTTCATTTTACAAAAAGTGCAGATTACAAAAGAAATTGGCACTTTTATACATTAACTGGCGCACCAAAAACGCATGGGGAAAGATGGGGCCTAAAAATTTTGAAATTGCAACATCTATGTTCGAGTGTCTTTGTGTGCATGTTTTTCTGTGTCAGTGTATGCATGTATCAGTGAGTGTTTGTGTGTCAGTGTATGTGTATCTCTGTGTCAGTGTATGCATGCATCAGTAAGTGTGGGTATCTGTGCATTCATTTTAGCATTCATTTACCAACACTACACACACACATACCATTAACAACACTAAATACAAATACATCACTGCAATCAAACTGCAACACTACATAAAAACACAACACTGTATTCAAACACCAACTCTACACACAGATACACCCATTCATCCAAATGGAAAAATTGCACACAAACAAACTGCACAAACACCAACACTATACACAAATACACACCCTACTCCATACAAAAACATGCTTAAGTTCAAACACACAGACACTCCTAATAATTACAACCCTGCAGGGATCGGCAAATTAAAAATCTGCAACTGGCCAAGCATCATGGAAGTTGTACAACAGTTGAGGATCTACTTTTTGGTTACCCTTCTATTAGTTTCAACACTCTTCCCGACAATTCATACATAAGTGGTAACAACTGCCATGCAAAATAAAAGCAGACTGGCAGATCCAACCCATATATCCCAAAATATACCATTCCATTAAACTGTGTAACAATCATAGATGTTCAACAGCAGATGGTAATTGCTGGACTTCTGAAGGGATAGTTACATCGTTACATAGCTGTACAGGAAAAAGAGCCAAGAGAAAGAACGAGACCTTGTGTCCCTTTGTTCAGTTACTATATAGATGTGCCCATACTGACGTCAGGCTATAACTCTAGCCATATAAGGACAAGACCCCCAATCCACATTCCAGGGTTTTCATCCAAGAAAACCTTGTGACTTATTGATACCATCTGTTATTTATGTCAGTCCAGACATCCATACATAATCAATAGAAACATAGAATATGCAATATTCTACAAGCCCCAATACATACAATCAAACCCAAATTTAAAAAAGTGAATGGTGCACTATCCCAATTCCCAATGGATTTGGGATAGTGAGCACAGGGCTTTATTTTGTATGTTTGTATTTGCCTTTGTATCACACAGCAATGTTACAGTGCTGCCATCCACCCCATGTGCTATATTAACCATTAATAAGCATGTAGGGGTTTGGGAAATATCCCTGTCTCATTAGTGATTTAACATTTAAGCTGAAAACATCAAGACAAATTGTTAGTGTAGGACTCATCTAAGAGGTTTTGCCTTGAGAAGGCAGGTGAGCTTACACTTGAATTGCCATTGGAGTGATAATTAAAAACAGTGCCTCTCACATTTACAAACACCAACACTATGCACAAACACACCCCTGCAGTCAAACATCAAAACTACATACAAACACACAAGCATTCAAATGCCACCACTACTTACAAACACTTCTGTATTAAAAACAAAATGATATATAAACACACCCCTGCATTCAAAAACCGCATTACATACAAATGCATGCTTGCATCCAAACGCCAACACTACATTCACACAAACATACTCCATACAAAAAGTACAAATTTAAGTACGCAAACACTGTGCTAAATACAACCCTGCAAGCATGGATATATAGTAGAACCCCTGCTGTCAAAGTATTGTAGAGATGTACGACAGTGTGGGATCTACCTTTGGGCCATACTGGTGATGGGGGGGTGGCAAAATAATTCTTGCACCATTACCTTTTCTACATTAGTTCCACCACTGGGCCTATGGATAATAATTCTGGATAAAATATAATTGATATGCTATTAGTTTGTAACCAATAACTGTAATAGTCATAATGATTGCAATAAAAACTTATTGAAAAACACAAATGTTAGTCACAAAAATAACAGAAGAAATAAATGGTTTGCTCCAGAAACTTTATTATAAAATAACACGATTCACAAAATGTAATTTTAAACAAGGAAAATGTGTTTGCGCTGGCTGATATATAGCATATGCTTTGAAACAAGACTACCTTTATTTAAGAATCAAGTAGAAACGCTACAAAACTGCAATCAACACAATGGGGTAGTACAAATTAGAAATTCAAATGCTTCTTTCAAACCCTTATAGAAAAGGTTCTGTAGCTTGAACCGCAGAAAGAAACCATTATAAAAATAGAAACCTTTATTTCTCCATTCCAGGCTGTTTCTACAAATCACCATTGACCCTGGAGTTCCCATTCAGTGCTGTAGCTGCTATTACATTATTGCTGCCAAGAGAAAGCATCAGGTCACCAGGAACTCTCGAGCTAATAAGCTTCAATGCATCCTCAGCGGGAAGCCGCATGCTAGAGCTAAGAAACAGAGGTATTCTAAACAGTTACTAAAAATAATACACATTGGTGCTGTATTCTTTCCCACTGCTTCTAGCATTGGTAGGGAATGATTTTTTTTAAGTTAAAAAACACTTTGTAAGGAGCAGCTTGTTTTAAAGCAACATTCTAAGCACCATAACTACTACAGTTTATTGTAGTGGTTATGATGCTTGAAAACCGACGAACTTGTGGATTCCCTTACATCATATATAGATCACTGGTATCCTTCCCCATAGAATGTCATGAATATGTGCAGTATACGGGCAACAAACTACAACTGGTAGCTAGAGATAAAATCTTCTGTTAAAAGATTATTATTTTTTTTTAAATAGATTTTTCCTACAGTAATTGTTCTGCTTTATATAGCATCTTTCACGTGTCTACGAAGAGCAGATACTAGAGCTTCTAAAACAACAAAAAGTTTATAAACAGGCAGGAGAGTAAATGTTGAGATTCATAACAATATACAGTTTATTTTGAAAACAGTTTGTGGATAAATAAAGCAAATTATTTTGTTTCTGACTACTTCTGAAAGAGGAGTTCACAGATGGACAAAATAGTACTCTTACAACAATAGAAGGCATGCAAGTGAAAGGAAGTAAATAATTATTTAGTGCATCTCCGGAATTACTCTTTAAGTCCTCTTTGGTTGTAAGCACAATCTATTCGATCGGAGACCATATGGAACTTGAATACTTGAAACCAGTCTGGTGCTAAATCTCAAGATTCTGAATGCACACTAGATTGGGTTCAAATCAATCAACTGGAGTCTTACATCTCATACCTTAGTCAACCAACCACATTCACCTGGACAGTGGAACAATTTGGGGCAATCTGTCAGGTGTCTTATAGGCCATAGACATTTTATTCAATGTATTCCAATAAGTGGCACAAAACTAAGCAATTCCATTAGCTAGTATAGTATCTTTCCAGCTCCAGGATGTAAAGGAGAGAGTGTTGCTGGTCAAATTAAGCATGTTGTGTAACTCTTATCCCTTTGTATGCTGTTTTATCTGAATATTATTTATTTTAAACATCTTAAGTTTATTTATTAATTTCAAACTTCACATCTTTAGACAAGTGTTAGCACTGTTTCAGCACCCTGGGTGTACTCTTATAAATGCAATGTTTGAGTTTCCCTCTGGTACCATTATATTTGTTTCAAAACAAATATTTTCCAGGTTCATTTATCAGACAAGGCAAGCAAATATCGTATCAAATTGTAAACTCCACAAAAAGCCATTGAGCAGTCCAATTCTCTTTCAACAAGCTTTATTGTGTTTTGAACAGTTAAAAAAAGGAAGACATACAGAAAAAGCCATAAACCAAATTACCATAATAGAATCATCTTGGGCATTTTGTGCAGGAATGGACTTGGAATTTAACAGTCACCTGATTTTTAAATATATCATTGTATTTAGGGCTGTGACTCTCCTGAAGTAGACCACAGTAGAACTGCATAGAAATTATAATTTACCCTATAACAAATGCAGAACCACTGATTGAAAAGTCAGCAGATTCTAAAAAGACATATTGGATAACAAACTATAAATCAGTAGTATACAGATATGGAAGAAAGTAGAAGAAAGTAAAGATTTCTAAAATAAAAAATAAAATAAAAAATACACATTAAAATAAAACCTACCACACTCTCTCTATAAAGAATGGAAGCAGCACTGTCATGGATAAAACAGAAGTTTTAGTTCTGTTTTAAATAATACAGGTTTATAACAAAAAAACAAGACAGCTTTAGCAATTGGCTATTACAGGATAATGTTTCTAATAGAACTATCCAATTGTTTCTCCTTTAAGAATATTTAAAGAGTGGCAACAAAGTCACTTACAAAAATGTTACTTGATTTGTGTTTCTTCCTTGTATAATGCTTTATATGCTTGTTTCATTAAAGGTACTCATTTGGCGTTTTACCTGAAGGCAAACTATTACCTAGAGGTTAATTTTGGCAATGAAACTTATACACAGCCAGCTCTATGTTTGTCTTTTTAAAGTTCCTTTCAAATTTTATTTCTTGACAACATTTATGCCAATCCAGAATAATCTAAGAAAAAACTAACAAGGTCATTTTACAAAACAAAAAAAGTGATTTTCAAATTTAAGGTCAGACTAGCTGAACTGAAAGTCTAGCTGAAACCGAAATCAGGAAACATCTACTAAAAATATATGTTAAGCTACCACAATCCTCAGATTTTTTTTTTTATTATTATTATTTTTTTTAGGAAAGACAAACAATCCATATAAAAAAAAATGGGGTGCACTTTGTAATATGAAAAAAAAATCTCCTGAGGTTCCAAAGTAAAATCCAAAACACCTAACAGGGTAATAAAACAATAATAGTGTGGAGCGCTAAGTGCATTATTTTAATATATATCCAAAATTTGTAAGTTGTTACGGTGGAGCGCTTAGGGGATTATTTTAACATGCTACTAATTTATATAAATACCTGCTAAAAGTGCAATGTCAACCATCAAGTTTTTGTGCAAATATTTCTAAAAAGTGCCAATCTTCTAAAGTGCAATTCCAGTACACAAACATTTATTTTTTTTCTTCAGTTTTGAGAACTGGAATTGCACCTCATAAGATTGCCCCCCCCCCTTTTTTTTTTTTTTTAATATTTCCACAAAAACGTGAATGTTCAAATTGTGCCAAGTCCATTCTCTGTCTATATATGTGAACAATGGATATACACTTTAGTTTGTGCTATCGTCTCACAGTCAGAAAGGGAGAAAGGCCAGTGGCAGATACAAGCATTCATGTTTTTTCACATTAAAATAAAAGCTTATATTTAAAATAACATCAGTTAGTGTATCAAGTGAAGTAGGCATCAAGTAGTCCTTTAGTGTAAGACTCCAAGTAAGGAAGTGCTCAGCTGTCTCTGTGTTTCGCACATCATGTTTCATCTGATCCATCATTGCACACTTGCTCATTTGGAGCGGCCATTATAGCACTGAAGAACTGCTTGCGGCCAGTAGGTGTATTTTTAAATGTAAGCTTTTGTGAATAAATAGGAGTATTTTTATCCTTTCATACCATGGCATGCTGAAGTTCAGACCAAGGGAAGATAACACAAACTGGAGTATATTTCCCACTTAGTGCACATATAGGACTAACAGTGGGCTCTTAAATTTGTCTGTATACGTTCATTTTAGCACAGTATTTAATTTACTGCAGGTATACTATTCTTGGTGTGTACATTTAAAAAAATATATATATATATATAAATCTCTGTTTAGGCGACATACCAATGTATATAGTAAGTGACTGTTTTCACTTACTACCATTTTAGGAATTATAAGCACTTTGTTTCTTTTTATACAATGATATATTGTGCCAAACAATGTATGTTCACACTGTGAAAGTACTTTACATATTGTGATGGTTTTATTATCTTGACACATCTTATTGCTATTTATCTATATCTGTTATTCTAAATAATGTTTGTATAATAATTTTAAAACAATATACATGGTTGTATTTCCTTTTGGTTTCATTTTTTGGAGTTTGCTTTGGAACCACATGAGATTTTTTTACATTGTTTTTAAACAGGTAATTTTTTATTTTTATTTCACTAAGGTGTAAAACTCCCGATAAATAATTTTTCAGTTTGGCTATTTTGACCTTAAGTTTGAAATTCACTTTGAATTCTCATTTTAGTAAATAACCTTGTAATTTTTTGTTAGTAATTTTACTGGACAATTTATTAAGAAATTGCACCTAGATTCTGTGTATCAAACAGTAACTTAACTAGATACATCCTAACAACCAGAGATGTCCTTTGTTTTTTTCCGTTGAAACCGTGTATCTACAGGATCGAAGCCTCTCTCTGTGGAGCCAAAGAGAGCCCAGTTCGGTGTTTTTGATACATAGTCCAAAGCAGTAAATTTTTGGCTGCCTCCACTCTTTTCAAATTCCTGGACGAGATGTTGGAACTTCTCATAATTAATCCAAGTCCACCATTCATTATCAATCTTGAACTAAAAGATAGAAAGCACAATCAAGTCAAGTACTATGACAAAGAAAATAAAAACAATTGTCACTTTTTTTTTTTTTAAATATATCAAGCATTGACCATGTAAAATCTCCAGATAGTTGGAAAATCCTAAACCACATCTTTTGAGAATGTTCTCATATGAAATTCCACAACCATCTGTGCATTACCAACCTTATTAGAACTATTTAACTGATCACAAGTTATTAGACACTGATGTCAGGTAATACAACAAAGATGGTTTATATTCTTAATATCTCTAAAAACTCAGTTACTTTTTTATCCTAAATGTTTGCGAACAATTTAGCACAGTAGTTTAAAAAACACACAAAAAACCCCACAAACTTTTTTTTGCCAACCAACACCCAATTTGTTGACTCATCTTGATCATTCCTTTATACTGCTTCCTGGGGCAGTGATGCACAGTAGACAGCACTATTGTTCAGCGTCTCCACTCTGCATGGAGACGCTGAATTTTCCTCATAGAGATGCATTGGTTCAATGCATCTCTATGAGAAGGTGCTAATTGGCCAAAACTGCATTTGACCCCGAACTCCTTGCCGAATTCTAGAGGAAATCCAATCCTAGAGGAAAGCGTTGGATTGGCTAAAAATCGTAAATTCTGATGTCACAAAGGAGGCGGATAGGGGAAGGGGCCAGCAATGGCGGATCTGCGCGGCGTTGGAAATTAGGTATGTTTTAACAGATTTGTGTTCCTGACCCTATATTGTTCCTTTAATATACACTTTATCGTTCCTATACATAGCAATCAGTGTCCCCTGAGTATACAAGGCACTTTTACATTCCTGTTTTTGGCAATAATATTCCACTTCCTTCAGATCATTTGAAATACTGGGAAGTATGACAACATATGCTCAAAGAGGGACACTTACATTTAAGTGTGTGGCCATGAGCAGTGCAGTCTTGAGAAATTATAGGTGACTTACAAGTAACAATGTATGCAAATAAATGTTATTTATAACAGGAACTATTCATCTTGTTTACAGAGACTGATTTCTAAACACATTTATTGTAGTTTAAAGACATTGCTGTGAGTATAATTGCTGTGGAGCTCGGTTATACACTCAGATACATCAACAATATGGAGCTCAGAAAAAAAGGTCAGAAGGATTCAGGCCCAAAGTAGGATTGTATTTCCCAAATAAAGACACTTGGGATGTATGCCTTGTTCCTGCATCTGAACTTTGTTTTGCATAAATTACTTGTATGTTTTGTTATCGCACATGAATAACACTGAGGAATATTTGGGGAATTTCACCAATCATACGTGTCCCACTGCTGCAAACACCCTATATATATATATATATATATATATACACACACGTATTCTGCTACTGTTCTCGAGTACGATACCCCACACATATACCTTTTTAACTAATCCTGCCCCTAATCCATCCTCTGATCTGTTCCATAATCCAACCCTCTAATGAATAAAATCATATAATTATGTAAATTACATCTAAAACTATAAAAAAAAAAAAAATTATTTGTGTGTATATTATATATATCTCAAAATACACTTAGAATGAAATTACACATGTATATTTTAATGTTTATATATATATATATATATTGTAGTGGGATCAAACTGTGAAGTCAAACTGGGATCAAACTGCTAAACTGTGAAGTGTGGTAGTGCAGTTGCCTACGTCCCCCATGTATTCGTGATTACTTGTGTGTTTTACCTGCTTCCCATTCAGGAGACTACGTACAAACGCAGCCCATTTGTCTCCCAAATGGGGACCACCCCAATACCCCATTTAGAATGTTCACACCTCGCTAACGAGGTGTGAAAACCACAAGCTGCAAGGGAAGCCTCGGGGCGTGCTGTCCCTGAGCGGCGGCCCGTTTGTTAGATGAACGCCGCCCACGGGGAGCATTCGCGGATTGCTTCCCACCTCGTTCGACTCCCGAACGGGGACCTCCCCAGCACCCCTTGGAGTGTTCACACCAATTAATTAGAACATTGGCAACTTGCAACACAAGTGTGAAACCGCAAGGGAAGTAATTAATGAGTGCTTCCCTGGGTGGCCGCCGTTCATATAGACGAGCGCTGCCCAGGGGGAGCATTTGTGTCCCGAAAAGAGACGCTTCCCTTGCTTGGTTTCACCCGGGGACCCCGCGAACGGAGGCTGTTCATGCCGGTTACTGTTCTGGGGGTCCTGAGACTTGTGGGGACACTCTGTGGGGTTTGGCGGGATTTCTGTGCCTAGAAGCCCAAGAGGCAGGATCTTTCCCACGATGGGACTCCCAGGTACAGAGAATCCTGGGTAGAAGACGCCCCTGCCACGGGAAGTGGGAAAACCTGTATTTGGGTGTCGGGAATCAGAGTTCCTGTCACACGTACAGGAGTCAGGGCTTGTCTTCTTCAATGCCAGTCTACTTGGGAAGAATCCACAAATGACCTTTGGGATGTGGAGATTATCCGGAGAGGATATCTTCTGGAGTTTTACGAGAAGCCCCCCCAACAGATCCTTTCATCTCACAAAATGGCCAGGAGACAAAGAAAAGCGTATTGCCCTCCAGAACGTCATCTCATCCCTACAAGCAGAAAGGGTTATTATGAAGGTTCCGGCATGAGAAAGAACTCAAGGGTTTTACTCACACATCTTACTAACAAAGAAGTCCTCAGGAGGATAGAGAGATATTCTAGATCTGCACAAGTTGAACAAGAATCTACACATCCGCAGGTTCAAAATTTAATTCTTGCAGTCTATAATCAAAGTAGTGTTCCCCAACCAATGGATGTTGTCGATAGATCTATTGGATGCTAACTTCCATATACCCATTGCGAAGGCCCATCAAAAGTTCCTAAGATTTGCAGTGGAAGAAGGCCACTTCCAGTTCAGAGCCCTTCCCTTTGGACTCAGCACGACCCCGAGGACGTTCACAAAGGTGTTAGTGGTTCTGATTGCAGACCTAAGAAAACAGAATATTGCCATTATCTGGACGATATTCTGATTATAGCAGACGACAGGAATACATTGGCCTCCCAAGCTATCACCAGCATGGCTGGAAAATCAACGCCAAGAAGAGCCATCTCCATCCAACTCAATCTATGACTTACTTAGGAACTCACTTCAACATGCTGAAGGGTACCGTTCAACTTTCCCAGGCAAGAATTGTGAAGCTCAAGAAACAAGGTCTGCTCGGATCCATGTCTTCCACAATAGGACTGACCAGGTGGGAGAATGAGACCTTTCCAAGAAAATTTCCTGCTACAATTTTCTTCCAGGAATCTACTCCAACCCATCAAGATTCCCCTATCTGTACACCATTCTCTGATCTGGTGGCTGAACATAAAGCACCTATCCAGGGGCTTCCCTCTTGGGGACATCTCATGGTTAACGGTGACAACAGATGCCAGCCAATGGGGTTGGGGTGCTCACTGTCTCCACAAGAGGAATGGGAATTCACGGTAAGCAACATGCATTTCAATCTGCTAGAACTCTTAGTGGTTCTCAAGGCACTAAAACGCGAGTGAGTGAGTGTGTGTGGGTCTGTCAGTCAGTGAGTGTGTGGGTCTGTCAGTCAGTGAGTGTGTGTGTATGTATGTATCAGTCAAGGTGCCTGTTAGTGAGTGTGCGGGTTTAGGTCACCAGCCCCCCTTTCGATCGCTTGAGAATGGTGTTTTTACTCACCTTTTTTCCCAATGCCGTGCCTGTCTCCATAGCTGAGATGAGCAATCTTGATGATTTCACCCAATCCAATGCTTTCCTGTAGGAAAGCATTGGGAGTTATTGAGCATGCATGGTAAAATGCTGCACCAATCAGCATCTCCTCATAGAGATGCATTAAATCAGTGCATCTCTATGGGGAGCATTCTGCGCCTCCATGCAGATAGGAGACACTTTAGTGGCCGTTTGAGTGACTGCCACTAGAGATGTTACTAGGCAGCAATGTAAATACTGCCTTTTCTCTTCTTTCTTTTGCATCTTCCTGAGTGAGAGACCCTTATGTGAGTGTGTGATCGCTGCCGGGGCCACTGGTTCTATGCAAGCTGCCAGCTTCTCCCAAAAGGCGTTTTCGGCCGATCCTACACATCCCATTCCCCACTGTCTGGGTCAGAAGCGCACACCGTGGCGGTCATTTTACTTGCCTCGTGGTGTCTGTTTTGCGGTGGTCATGTGCTCTCAGTTCCCTGAAAAATCTCCTGGGAACCGATCGGGATTACCCCCACCGGACCAAAGGGGAGAGGTAGTGCCAGGGCTCAGCACAGGCTGCTCAAGGCGGGAGATCGGTTGCCTCTCCCTTCCCTGGTGCACACCAGGCCGCAATATGCTGGAAGCCCCCTCCAGGACCGTGTCAGCCACAATCACTGCTTGTTGCCAGGAGGAGGGTAAACCCAATTTAGGGCTACTGCAATATCGATTTAGAATGTGGCAGGGCCCAGCAGGGTCCCCAAAAACAATAACCATAACCATTTCTATGTATCTAAGTGGTTATGTTGCCTGGAGTCCGTGGGTGCCAGGATCCTCATCACTACTAAATGGTTTTCTCACCATTTAGCAGAGCAGGTTGGTCCCCAGGAACCCGGCCTCCAATGATGATGCAGAGCGTGTAAACTGAGCACTCTTAGTCACTGTACTAATCTCTGGTAGCTGGAAGCATAGATATTGCAGTAGCCCTAAATTGGGGTTACCCTCCTCCTGGCAACTATGCTTCCAGCTACCAGAGATTAGTACAGTGATTGACTAAGAGTGCTCAGTTTACACGCTCAGCCTCTCACTGCCGCTATGTTATGGTGTGAACCTGCATAGAAATTTACAGCATTTAAGTTTATCACAGGTCTCAAACTATGTACGGAGCATATTTAATGTATCCAGTGGTGTTGCCCTAGGCATGAGGAACTCAGGAACCCCTAATTTAAATTTTCCCCACCCCTTCCTGCCAAGGTTACATCTCTTCCTGTTAAAGACTAACACGCATTTTGACAGACAGACACTCACAGACATACACCCGCACAATCACTGATGACAGACACTGACATACACATTCACAGATACACACACAA